GCCCGCCCGCCCGCGGGGCCGGTTCCTTCCCTGGACGTCTGCGGACAGGTTGGGGACTCGAGCCTGAAACTTGTATTTATTCATCGGGTTTCAGCGATAACTCCCAGAGGAGAGGAAACACGCGGGAGCGGAGGGGGCCTAGAGCTCATGGCGAGCAGGTAATGGGATGTTCTTCGCGGCCAAACTTCCCGGCCGGGCGCGTTTGTAGCATAATTCAGGACCCGCAGCATGTGAAAGGGTTAAAGGAGTCGCGGTAACCGACCCCAAAGGGGCCAATTCCACAGAAAAGCAGCAAGACGATGACTCTGGCTGAGGTGTGGCTGGAACGGGGAAGGGACTGAAGGCCACTGGGATTTAGGCAAAAATCAGAGTCCGGAGAACAGTTTCGGGGCAGGTCCTGTGCTCTCCGAGCGCGTCCCCCTCGGGAGCCCGACTCTTGACCACTCCGCCTCCCCTGGGGTCTGAAGTAAACGCCGCCCACTGAGCCAGCCAGGGGCCCCGCACTGACCGCACGCGCCTCTGAGACGGGTGACCGCGGCTCGTCCCCGTCCGGGTCCAGGCTCTGTTCACGCTGACGCCCCGGGTGGTGTTAGGAAATACCGAAAACACAGAAACACCATCGGCAGCAAAATTCCCCTGTCGAAGGCGAGGAGGCGATAGAGACGTCGTGTGTTTTGAGCGTGATGATGTTTTATTCCTTAGTCCATGGTCGCCTGCGACCTGGACGCGAACGCTCCTCTGGCCCGAGGAAGTTTCATGCTCCAGGGAGCGCTGGGCGGGCCGGCCCGCCCCTGGACTTCGCCTCTCGCCTCTTGATTCCATTGCTGTCTTGTGACTGAGAAACGGCCGGGAGAGCGGCTACTTTTTCCCGTAAACGTGACGTGTGCACCGCCGCCAAGCCTATTGCTGGTTCTTTCCCTGTGATTTCCTTCTACGAGAACGAACCCGAGCGGTGCAGGTGCTTGAAGCCCCCGGGCCCCTTGCTCGGGTGCCTTCCTCACCCCCTGGCTTTTTCCCGGGTGGGTGATCATCGCCTCAGGCACAAGGCAAATAAAAGCTTCGCAGAAAATCAGTGCCGAGCGCCCCTCCCGAAAATGTGCCCGCGGGAGCCTGCGACCCAGGGGCCGGGAGAGACTGAATCGGGTGAGGCAGTCAGAGGACCTGTAATCACGCAGCCCGAGCCGGCGGGTGCTGAGCGGTGCAGACTTTAAAATCCGGTGTGTTCCGTAGCCGCTGCGTTAACTGTCCTCTGTTCTAAGCGTATAAAAGGCTGGAGAGCAGGAATGTCATAAAATTAAAGTGTTAAAGACCCTTAGCAAGAAAAGCAAACGGGATCCTTAAACGAATGTCTATCCTGGGCCAATAATATTTGCAGAAGTGGGATGTGATGCCATTGTTTGCCACCCGGTGGGTACATGATAATATCTGAAGTAGCCCCTCCCCCAAAACCAGGGCCTCTCCGCTTTAAATCGTATGTTTTATGTGCGTCTTGGTCACGCAAAGGCATAAGCTAAGCTAGAGGCCGTTGTAAACCAATTAAGGCAACAATTGCACCCATTAAAATCTCGGTGCGGGAAAGGAGGAGAGGCTCTTAGGATTGTCTTGAAAATAGCAAAAGTGCATAAATAAACTTTTTAATGTTCTCACGCCGCAAAGATTGAATAGACTATCCTCCAGTAAAAATCATGCAACTTTCTTTGAGGGAACCCGAGGCGGGAAGAGCGAAGCCGCCTGGGGCTCTGCCGGGGGTTTGAGGGGGAGGCACCAACACGCTTGTAAAAGGTTTTTTAAAATATAAATTCCACTAAGCCTCTGAGGACTCGTGTGGGACTCTGGCATCGTTGCTCCTGTCCAGGCAGCTTATTTATAATTCCCTGGGCGAAGGGCAAGGGGAGGGAGGGAGCGGAAGGGGGGCAGTTGCTCTGGAAAATGGGGCAGCCCCTGTGCTCGTTCAGACAGCGGGTGGTCCCGGCGGGTGACTGGGTGATGCCCGTGGGTTAGACACAGAATTGGGGGGGGGCATTCGGAGATGTTTGCCGGTGTCAGACGTCGTTTCTACCAGAGCACACAGGGAGAAACCACTCTAAGGAACTCTGACGCGTGGAAACCTGTTCTTACAAATTAGGTTGAGGCGGAATCATCATTCTTACAACTTTTTCCTTCAGAGCTTAAATAGGGGATTTTTCGCACGTATTACGTCACTGTACTTGCTCGAGTGTGCCTGCCGTTGATGTTCAAACCGTCAGAAACTCATGGTCCATGTCGAGCGAGGTGGACCTGTAACCGCCCTGACCTTGAGGAAACATGGGTTGGCCTTTGTAAAAAAGGCCGAGATAAATTCTTGAAGATGACTGTGTTTTTGAAATACATACTCAGGGAAGCATCAGAGCAGGGTCCATAGGATGTTAGATTCGGGTTTTTAAAAGCCTGCAACCCCTGTAGCACAGCAGAGAGAACAGTCACCTGTCGTCTTCGGGGTTGACGTTTTATCTCATTTTGCGAAGCAGGAGCAGACACTGCTCTTGGCCTGCTGGGGCCACGTTGGGTGACCTTCTCCGGCTTGCGACGGGGATCCCTGACGAGGCCCCTGCAGGAACCCGGGCACCAGCCGGCGGCCGCGCCCTGGGATCGTGTCACTGTCTGGGATCCCGTGGGCCGCGGTTTCTTCTATAACTTCTGTGGACGGCGCACAGATGTTTCCTGAAGTGTCTTCCATCTGTAACCCTCAGCGTTTCTGCGGCATAGTTTTCATCCTGTGATTCTCCTCGGGACACACCGAGTGCTTCTCGTTGCCTAGCCTGGGGCTCTGGGCCACGTGCTCAGGTCCACGTGCTCAGGTCCACGTGACCACAGGTGACTGCAGGAGGCCCTAGAATCCATGGAGCGTTCATCACTGCCCGTGTAATGGTGAGACGCACGTATGTACATACACACGCATGTATCACATGCACATACAAAGATACACACTTGCTCATTTTGGCTCTTAAGTGGTACGTTTAACTAATAAAATGTATTTAAAAGGTGATACTAAATTTGGAAACTTTCTATGCCATAAATTTTATATCTTTTTAAAAGATACATCACATTGGATGTAACTATGTTTCAGTGTTTAAAGCCAAGTGTTCTATTCCCAAACACTGGGAATCACTGGACTGGAAAGTGAAATACGAACATGACACCATGTCCCCGACGTCGGCATCCTCGTCACAGCGTCCCTCGAGGCCTTCCTGGTGCCGGCCTTGCTCTCGGGTTGACCCTGACCTTGCCCGTGCGTGTCCCGTGCAGGGGTGGCCTCCTCTAGCGTCTCCACGTGTGGGAGCCCTCGCGGCCCAGGCTGCCCGCAAATGCCCCGGGCACAAAGGCCTCTCCCGTTTCCAAGTGAAAGTGCTCTTTCTCCTCTCAGGTGATTACATTTTGCTCACACTTTCTACGCTTCTTTCTTGCACATTGAAATGTCTCCGCTTGTGCCGCTAACCCCGAGTGTTCTTTCTCGTGAGGTGCCTTGTACTCTTGTGTGACGTGTTCTCAGGACACCGGGCAGCGTTTCGCCCAAAACCACCCGCGACTGTCCGATGAAGGTTAGTCACAGAGAGAAATACTGATGGGTCACCTGCTGTATTACTCTCCAGCTAAGACTGTAGCAACGTACAAAACAAAGCTCCCCTGGGGAAAGGAAAATGAAATGCAGACACCTGTATAATAGGCCCCGTGATGCTAAGGATAAGTTCTGTGGGGAAAATAAAAGCGGGGAAGAGGGTTTGGGAGGCTGGGTGGGGAATCGCCCTTTTCTACGGGGCAGACAGGAGAAGCCGCCGTGGTTGAGGCGACGTTTCATCAGACACCAGAGGAAACCAGGGCGCAGGCCCTGCCTCCTCCTGGATAGTCCCAGGTGCACAGCCTGTGCAGAGGCCCTGGGGCCTCGGGATATTGGGGGACCACCGAGGAGGCAACAAGTAGGGTTCATCAAAAGATATGAGATCAGCCCGGCCGCGTGGCTCGGCGGTTGAGCATCGACCTGTGAGCCAGGAGATCTCAGTTCGATTCCCGGTCGGGGCACAGGCCTGGGTTTTGGGCTCGATCCCCAGCAGGAGGCAGCGGATCCATGACTCTCATCATTGATGTTTCTCTCTCCCTCTCCCTTCCTCTCTGAAATCAGTGTGTGTGTGTGTGTGTGTGTGTGATCAAAAACTATGGGGGCATTGATTGGGTAGAATAAGACATAGAACTAAATGGAACAATGTATTTTATTTGTAACTGAGGTCAGATATAATATGTATCCACTAACTTTTAGAAAACACTATCCTTCTAAGGGACTTGTGAAATAGTTTTATTAAAATGGAAGTAATAAGAATGATGTTGTAAAAATCACTACACTGTATACGAGTCAAGGCTCCAATCATAAATTGAAAGAGAATTGAACTGTGGTCATCCAGAGCCAGAAAGATACTATTTGAACAAGAATATTTTCTTATTTATCTTCTTATAAATATTCTTTTATTCTTAGCCTATTAACCCTCCCCGTCTTTAAAAATATTGCTGTGAGAAGCAGATAAATTCATAGTCTGATGGAATTGCCGTACAGCCTTTTAAGGCATCGGCAGGAAGGCGCCTTGGCTGCCGTTCTTGGTACAGAATTCGCGCGTCGGCGGTCAAGTCGGGCGATCGGTTCGATGCTCTGCGGCGATTGTGGGGACGTGAGCTGTGTTGCTCGCCACATGCACCTTTATCACCACGTTTGGTCTTGTATAAATCTTTATGGAGGTGTTTTTGAAATGAATACAAATTGGGTAGCAAAGATAAACACGGGTTAGTATTCAAAACAAATACTCGTGTTGGTGCCGTGTGT